TCTTACAATCGGGGATCACCGGCCAGAACCTACGCCCTGGTCTTACGGCTCTCAAGGAAGACTACCCAACGGGTACGTTTTATAGCTACGAGGATAACCGTTCGGTGGCCGATATAGCTCACACCGAAGGCTACATGATTCACATGCATACTTTGATCATACCACAATTAAAACAGTAATAACATTTAAGGCATAGAAATTTTAAAATTACAACCCACCTGGTATCGGTTCATAAAGCAATTAGTCAGAAGGTCGTAGGTGGTCGAGACACTGCTCTTCAGACACCTACATAAGTCAAGACAGTCCCATAAGCAACTATCTCGACTCTTGCACAGATAACGAGAATTATGCTTAGTCGAATAACAATGACTAAGGAACTCGTGGAAGTTGTGGAGTTGGAATATTAGGACGACTCCTAGACTCGACCAATGAATTACCAAATCAATTAATAGATCACATAAAAGCAGGCAATAAATGTTCGACACAAAACGGGTCAAAACGGTTGAAAGACTAGTTCGAATTTTATAAGAATAGGGCTAAGGGGAGTTGGACTTGGTTATTTCAATTCAAATTTTTACTGAGTGTCAAGGGCTGAAAAATACATATTTTCACCAAAGGAAAACCATTTAACATGCTCCTAACTATTTTAAATATTTTACTCAAAATCTGACCAGAAATCAAATTAAATCATTTAAAATAGCTACCGCTCGAATTTAAATCTCAAAGTTTTACAGCAGCAATATAATCTGGAGAAAAACAACATATTCAAAAATTAGCAAAATCGGACAGGAACTCGATTTTATATGAATTTATTACGAAACAGCCCAGAATTAATTTTCGAGTTTTGACAAGACTACAGGCCATATAAAATTCTCAAATTTTAACCACGAGTACTACAGTTGCCACATTACAACATATCCAAAAATCAGAATTTTTGGATAAACACACGATTTATAGTGATTTTAACAAAAACCGGCTGCAGCACGTTTTTCAAAAATTCATAACTAATTCAATACACATCGAAACGACGCGAGGCCAAAGGCGTTGCGTCAAGGACGATCCTAAGTCCAATAATCCACAGCACTTCCACATAAAATACTACCCGAAACTCAGTTCAATAATTTTCAAAGTGACGGCAATCACTTTGATACCCAATAGCAATAATATATTCAAATTTCACACGAATGCATACCAAACACACGCAATTAATCCGAAAAGCACACGATCAGCAATAACAATATATATTTGAGCACTTAAGCATGTATAAATGCAAGATAAGTAAGCCGAGGGTTAGCCCGGAGTACCGTTCTCGGGACGGGGCCACGAAAAGAGAGCAACGAAAGGGTCGAATGAGCTCGACGGCTTCACGCGTCTTGTCAGAAAAAGAGGGCAGCGACGGCACGGATAGCAATGGCCTGGACTGAGTACTCGCGATCTCGGGACCTTGGGACTGCACCGGATACGAGCTGCAAGCAGGACGATAACTGGCGCGAGGGACAACGACGAGGGACTCGGACAGTAGCAATGGAGAATCTCACGAGCAGGAATGAGATCGAATAGCAGGCCTCGGCTCTCT